AACAAAATAAGTGCACTTATTTCATCTTTTTATCTTTTTTGGGTCACATCAATCAACATCTCCTCTCTATTTTTTCTACACATAATACAATAAAAGTTAAAAAGTACACTTATTTAGTCTTTCCAAACTTGCCCTTAGACTCAAGCGGCATAAGCCAACAAAAGTTGTTACTATCATACTACTATCAGAAATGAAAGACACGTGGAAGGCTCGGAGAAAAAGGAAATGTGGGACTCTCTTCAAGGACGTGCCTGTCGTCTATATGTATATGTACGTTTACCCTGTCTCTTGAGATAAATGTTTAATACTAAAGACAAATATAAAGTATATTGTGATAGCAAGGGCCTGACTTAATCATGTCTTCGGCTAAAACCATACTAGTGTTGCTAAGGCTCTCCCCTTATTTTAGGTAAACTGGAACTCAGATTCATCATTTAGAGAAAAAATAATTTAATAAAACTTAAAAAAAATATTGGTACATTGAATTTGAGTTTGTTTGAATTATTCAAATTTTGTAGGGTGAATGATCGTTCGAACAACCGGTGCAACCCTTATCAACCGCAACTGTCACCCTTATTTCTAAAGAATCGGCCGAAGAACTGGCATGTACAAATTCAAACAATTCAAACAAGCTAAAATTTAGTAGATATAGTATTGCTCTAAAATCTATGATTGTTTAACAATTAATCGACTAGAAGAACTCAGTTGGCGGTACATGGTGCACATATATTGCCAAAGAATCTAACATTGGCAAGCTATTTTATTTTTCAAACGATTTTTTGAAGAGAAAAAAGAAAAAAGAAGAAGAAAAGAATCACACAGTGAATAAAATTCAAATCCAAGACATTAGACTACCTAATAAAAAAGAGGCATCTCATTCATTAAGTCAAACATGATTTTGACTAAGTTAGAATTGTCAGATCAAAAACACTACAAAGGGTAGAGAGACATATGGCATATATTTAATTTATGCTAAAAATTTGTAGGATGACAGTTGATAATAATAGCCCATCATCACTAACAAACTCCATGATTAAATTAAACAACACACCACAGTAAAAGAAGCAGTAGCTGAAGAAAGAAACTTCACGCAACAGCTATTTTCTCGCACCTAACGCAAGCTTTGGCTTAGCTTTAATTTTGTCATACATCAATTCTGCATTCTCGGCAAAAGTAAAATTTCACATATGTGCGATAATTTAGCCTCATCTATGTTACGGGGCTAAGTAGGAAATCGAATTTAGGATCAAATTGAGGGTAAAAATGTAATTTTTGTGACGAGATTGCAATCTACACAACATTTTAAATCAAAGTGATGATGCACAATAAATTTAGTTAAATTCCTTCGTTTAGAGTTTCAAATCAGTGATTTTATAATTTTAGGAAAAAGTTATTTTAAGAAAAACATTATTTTAGGAAGTTGTTTACAACGTGGTCTATTTTGATGTGTTTCTAATATTTTTTTAATATTTAAATTTGAGACGCAAATTTGTTATATTTGATAATTTTATTTCTTTTAATTATTTTTGTATTGAATTAGCATAATCATTTGTTTCTTTTTTGACTCAAGGTTTTGTATATTATATATGCTTTAGGGCAAAAACAACGTTGATCAATATTATTATTCCGTTTCTTTGTAAAAATTTACTTCTTCATTATTATTTCGTTTGCTAGAACGATAACTAACTTTATGTGATATTTTCTATTGGGTCGCAAAATATAATTGGAGTAATAGGATGATTAGCAACAAGCATTATTTAATAAATGAAGGTAAGCGATCAATTGAGATTGGCTGGCCAAGTACCTACCATCCATTTATTAAACAAAGTTGCAAATTCATCCTTTCCTTGCCAAAAAATTAAAATAAAATTCACTATATTTGTAAAATTACTTTTAAAAAAAAAAAAATTATAAAGTTGAGCGATGTCCTGGCATCATTAATCAATAATTCTAGGTAGCCAAAATTGATGATCATAATTTTAACCAAAAAAAATAAAATAAAATTGTGGTCTAATTCAACTAGTAAGTGATACACTTCACAATTATAAGTGATACAATTCACAATTAAAATGAATTTAAACCACATTTTCTAATTAAAATTCTACTACCTTAGAATAATGGGTAGTTAGAATTGTCAAACATTAACAGGCACTACAACAAAATACAGAATTGGCGACCAAAAAATGAAATTTCGTCGCTGAAAAAATTTAGTCGCCAAAGGTGTTTTTTCTTGTAGTGAGGTTTGTTGCACCATTGTACAAATTTATTTGAGAATTTAAACAGTCAATCTTTTCAAATGTAAAGATTAATTATTTCTCTTTTATTGTAGAATTTTCTGTCTAATTGAATTTTTTATTCTACTATTATGAGCTCTTGCTTACCATGATTACTAGGCTTCTAGCTATGTATTGTTGAATAATTGTCTAGTTATTGTAATTTTCTTGTCATAATTGTAATCAATTCCCTATCAATTGGTAAAAAAAAATTACCAAAACATTAATTGAGTACGATGTGATTGAGTGAAAGAATTATTTGTATTAAATTAAAAATGTAAAATAAATTATATTTATTTATACATTAATGTGATGATATTAATTTGTTAAAATTAAATATATGCAATTATATAAAAGATTTCATTATATAAGAAGTTATTTTGTTATTTTTATAAAATGAGTGTATAATGACTTTTTAGCCATCTAATTTTAAAGGATTGAATTGTAATAATCACATCATTTTTTTTTTATAATTGAAAACTGTGTCTTAAACTGAGTCATTTTCATTTTGAAAGCGTAATTTTAAGGATTAAGCGAAATTCTCTAATCTGAACAAAAAATAAATAAATAAATAACAACAACAACAACCATAGCAACAACAAAAGTTGAACCTAAATTTCCTATTTGAGTATAATTTCACCCTTTTTGTATAGGAAAGTGTTTTGGATCCCAAACAAATTATTAAATTTTCTATCAAACCTCTCACATGGGTGTGAGACCCACACAAATCACATGTGTGTGTGTCCTACACCAATGTAAGAGATTTGATAGAAAATTTAATAATTTATTTGGGATTCCTAGCATTACTCTTTTGTTTATCAATTTATCACAACAAACATGATTTGATAATGCAATGTTTGTCAATGTAAGATGGGTTAGACTCATCCGCGCTTTTAACGGGTCTACTGGTTGATTCCTTGATGCATGTTGACAAAAAGGTCTGAATGAGAGGTACCAAGATTAGAGTGGTCTCTCCCCGTGAACCCTCCGATGATCAAGTTAGGTTGGAGTTTTTAGAGAAGTAAAGATTGATTATGATTGGTTAAAGTAAAAGAGAGAGTAGAAGAAGAAGGGGAAGAATACCATCATATATCCTCGAACATACCTCGAAAGTTTCCTTGTATCCCTTACCCATCATTTCCTTGTCCATTCCAAGTTCTCTTGTTGGCCGAAAATCTATAACTTAGTTACCATCGTTCATGGTGATTCTGCATATTTCGACGTGAAAGATCTTGCCACATTTAATGCTATGGTGCCTCATTTAATAACTGATATGTGAATGTAATAACTTTATAAGATATTTGTCTACTTATGTTGTTAATTCCTTACTTACTAGGTGTCTGAATGTCATTAGTCCTAGTCCAACATTAACTTCTCACAACCACTGAGCTTTAATAGTGCGACTGCTTGAAAGGCCTAGCACAAGAGCAGATTGAGTCTACCTAGCCGTGGGCTGAACCCAAGGCCGTGGACTGGGCCCGGCGTGCCCATCAAACGGAATTTACGGATTAACAATTCAGTTCAGCTTCTCAAATCTGCAAACAGACATAGCCTAAACTAGAGGGTCAAAAGATTGTTGTACAGCCACGTACTCAAGGTCAAAATATCCAAATGACGAGTTAGAAACATGTGTCTTTACGCCTATGGCTGTCAAAAATTCTACTGAGTAATAATAAACAATAGGTGGATTTTGATAATAAACAACAAAAATCATTAGTAGCTCGAATAAACAAGGTGGATTTTGATTTGATCCCTTTCCCTATAATAATAATAAATTAATAAATTTCTCTTTTCTGGTGTACCCACAAAAAAAAAATTCGCTGTGATTTAGAAAAAAATATATGATAAATTTTATAATTTTAAAATAATTATATTAAAATTTTAATTCATAAAACATTTAGTGTTACTTTTATTAATAATTTATTAATTATATGAATAAAAACATAATAGTGTGATATATTTTACCTAAAAATGTGTATTTTACATTATTTATTTTTATATTTTTGTACTATTTATATTAATTTTAATCCATTTAACATTACTATAAAAATTATTAATCAAATCATGTCAAAATTATGAAATTTACTATATTTTTTTCTAAATTTAAAAAAAAAATAAATATAATTTACTCAATTTTTTTTTTTTAAAAAAAAATATGAAGATAAGTTCAAAGGCTGTGAAAAGAGAGCATCCAATGTCGTAATACCCATTCTTCTATTTAAAAAAAGGATCCAACTGGTCTGCAATTGGGATTACGATTGGACCGTTTAGTCTTGCTCATAGACTTATTTTTTAGTCCATTTTTGATAATTTGAATTGATGAATATGTAGAACTCGTCGTGTATTATATTTCTGTAACAAATTACGTTAATCGGAGATCGATAACTATTTGATCGAATCAGATTTTGGCTAACTTTTTTTTTTACCGTTCCCTTTTAATTATATAAAATTAATCTGATCAAATAACTATCAATATCCGATTAACGTGATTTTTTACAAGAATATATTACTTGATAAATTTTACATATTAAACGGTTTAAACTATCAAAACAAAATCTAAAAATAAACCTACAAACTGGACTGAATGATTTAATTTTAATCCTTAACTAAAGATAAGCTGGACCATTAAAAAAAAATATCGTAATGTCCACTCCATAGATCATATTCCATATATATATATATATATATATATTTTATAATTTTATAATTATATATAACAGGATAATCCAAGCCCCAGCATTCCCAAGGAGAAGCAATAAATTCTTTTCCCCAATCCGAATTTGGGGCTTTATTCAGTCTTTACTCTCGCTTACTTCTTCTTCACCAGACCTAGTCAGAGAGAGAATTCTAGAGAGAGAGAGAAAAAAATTGTAGAGATGACGATCTCCGATGTGGTGGCGGGGAATTTGACGACGCTGTACCTGGTGGCGATTGCAGGTATAAAAGCGTACGGATTGATCTCAGGTCAGGGCTTCAATGGCATCTTCGTGCTCCTTGTGTCTACTATTATGGTTGGTCTAGTATTGATCTCGAGTTTGATTTGGGACGTGTCTCGCAAAGCCACCAAAGCACTCGCTCCTCATCATCACCAGACTGAGATTTGTCATGGCGGTATCTGTTGGCATGGCGTTGCTGTCCGCTCGCCGGCTTCTCAGGTCCGGTTCCGCCTTCCTCAACAACATCCCCATAATTAAATATAACCTAGACTACTAAATATATATACTGTATACATTTACCATATATATAAAACAGTGTGAAGAGGGCTGATTGTGTGTAAATTTGTTATATATGTGTATATATATATATATATATATATGTTAACTGTTTGTATAATTGGGTGAGTGAATTTTGTTATTGAAGTTATTCTATGTGTATTATGTGTATGATTAGTCAATTATTAAATGCGAAAATGGTTCATTGGATTGTAAATTTGGGAACAATCTAGTGTAATTTTCCTTTTGTTAATTGCCGATGACAAGCATGATGATTGCAGAGTCGTCAAGGGAGATGAGGAAGTTAGATGCAGATGTGGTTGCTTTGGGGATCTATAACCCAGAAAAATGCACTCAATTTGGAATGTAGTGCATAGAGACGACACACACACAATCCAATTGCCATTTTTATTTATTTGTTTATTTTACATTGGAGACAGAGAAGATAGAGTTTTGTGTGTAAACCATATCTGAACTCTTGACCTTATACCGAGAGATACATGTTGTATGTGAAGGGACTCAACTCAACTAAAAATTCTGAACTAATCTCATTTCACCTATTTAAAATATGTTTAAAGGTGTTCAAACCCATAAATGCGTTTAAATGATTTATGTCTTGCTAATTCAATTAACATTAGGTTTAAATGGATGTGTGCTACTATTTGCCCTTACCAAAATTCTTTAGACCCATATCTCCAAAATTCCAATTTTACGAAATTGCTTAGATACCCCACGTAATATTAAAATTATCCGCAATTCTCTTAAATCCTACCCTACTTTACTTGCAATCCTACCCACCACCTTAATCCCGTGGCCTCTTCTCCGTCCTCCCCTAACCATCTCACTCCCTTTCTTGCCACTTCTTATCCATTCTCCACACACCCCTCCACTCCTGAACACCTCCTTAGCTCTTTCTCCCAATATGGACCCCTTCTTCTTTGGCATAATAATCTCTCTCTCTCTCTCACTCTCTTCTATGCTTGGGGTTATGGAAAAGGGAAAAGAGGGGGTGAAGGCTATCAATGAAGGAGGATCAAGGGTTTAGGGTGTTGGGGAGGAGAAACGGGGCTAGAAATGAGTGGTAGTGGTTAGGAAAGTGTTTGCGAATTGTGGAAGAGTGAAAAGAGTGGGTGAAGACTGTCAATGAAGGAGGATGAAGGGTTTAGGGTGTTGGGGGAGAAGAAAATGGGCTGGAAATGAGTAGTAGTGGTTGGAAATGGGCGGTGATGGATAGAGATAGAGCTAGGGGTGATCGGAGTGGGTGAAGAGGAGGCTCAAGGGTTGCGGGGAGATAAGGATAGGTTGCTGGAGATAGGAAAGAACAAATGAAAGTGGCCGAAGTTGGGAATGGGAGGAAGATGGTAACCGGAGCAAGCAGTGGTAAGAGTGGGGGAAGATTATGGTTTAAGTGGTTAGGAATAAGAATAAAATTGACACCACCTCTTGTACCACCGAACTATGTCCTCTTCTATCACTCTACAAACAACAACCATTAAGGCTGTAAACAAGTTGAATCAATTCAAGTAATATGTTATTCAAACTTTTTTTGAAAATTTGACAAACTTCAAAATGTGTTCAAATTTGGTTTGATTTTACCTTTTGTGTTTATCTAACTAAGCTTTAATTGATTCTATCAAGAATTGAGTTCGAGGAATTTGATTTTTTATAGTGCATATAACTAAATAGAGCCAAGTATTTAGTTGTTTAAAATTTGACTTGAGAAGTTCACGGATTTTAAAACGTATTCAAACTTAGTTTGTTTACATAATGATTCAATTTCAAATGAAATTTTAGCAAATCAAACTTGAGTGTTTGGTTAATTCTACAATCTAATTGCCACCATTCTACCACTACCATCATTAAAAAAAAAGTTTAATAAAATAAATAAGGCCTCGTTTGGGAACAAGCTAATTTAGTAACTTTTTGACTATTTGGCTAAAAAGGTAGGTAAAAAAAACTTGTATGTTTGGGATGACTTTTTGGCTAATTACGAAAAGATGTGCAAAAAGTAGAGAGAAAAGAGAATCTTTGACTTTTTGGTATGGGTTGTTGACTTTTTGGCTAATTTAGTAACTTTTTGGCTAATTGGCTAAAATAGTGTCTTGCCAAACGAGGCCTAAGTTGATTGAATTAATTTATCTAATCCTTACTCAATTTAACCTAGAAGATTGAGTCCATAAATCCAAATTTAAATTCCTTTTGCTGAAAAGTTCATGCTTAAAAATAGTATGTCCATAAGGACATACTTTTGCGAAATAACCAAACTACCCATGTATATATATCATTTTGTTCGATCTGTGTTTTTGTTCCCCAGACCCATTCTCTCTTCTCAACCTTGTTTATCTCTTTTCCCTTTCTTTTTCTTCTTCATCTTTTCTTCCGTCACCAGCATGGCTCACCACGACTACGTCGCCGCCGCCTCGGTTCCTCCTCCTCTGTTGGTGGCTCTTCTACCCTCAACTACTGTCTCGTCTAGATCTGCATCTCTAACGTCTTCTTTGTCTTCAAGTTCCAAATCCAACAATGGAGCTAAGATCTGAGGCCTCTACAAATACGACGATCGTTAGGGAATTAGAGAGCCCACAAGTGCACAACAACACCAACCCAATTCATTAGAGATAAACTCCATGAAACTTCAGAGTCCACAAATGCCATATTAAGGCCCAACATACATTATTTGGAACTCATATCCACTTAAAAGCTTAAGCTTATAAGTAGAGAGTCTGACTAGTATATATTAAGACCCATATATTTTATTTTTTATTTGATGTGGAACTCTACTTTCATGCATGCTCTAACAATCTCTCCTTCATGTGTGAACCAAACATCGGGCCTCGCCTTACTCCCCTTCGAGTCTGATCTATCATCACCAGGTTTATTGTAGATCATACGCACTCCCATTAATCTTGATTTATAACTCTCCAACATCGAGTCCAACTTGAGCCTTCCCGCACATACTAAATCGTAAGCCACCATACTCCATTGAGAGCCACCTTGTAGTGGTCTAACCTCCACGTGCACTAGGAATTTCACTCCATCAAGAATCACTATGGATTTTTTTTTTTCTTGCTTCATCAAGAGTTTTCCGTACAAGCCCAAGTCCACCAACATCAATGCTTCAGGAGAGTTTGCCCATAAATCGTCTACCATCAATTTTGATACCAGTTATTGGGGAATCAAGGAGCCCACAAGTATACAGTAACATCGACCCAATTCATCATAAGGAAACTCCAGAGTCCACAAATACCATATTAAGGCCAAACATACATTATTTGGAACTTATATCCACTTAAAAGTTCAAGCCTATAAGTGGAGAGCCCATCTAATGTATATTAGGACCCATTATTTTATTCTTTATCCGATGTAGGACTTTACCTTTACACATGCTCTAACAACAATAACTTCATCGGTCATGTCGCCATTGTTAAAGAAGTGAAGATCTAGTTTGGATACGTTTGGTTCATCGGAGTACCTGATCTATAAGCAAGTCTCCCTTAAATTCGACGTCCCTTACGGTGGTCCTATATATACTCCCAACATGGCCAGTCCTTTAACTTGCTCCAAGAACTTACAATCTTTATAGAAATTTATGTTTAGAATTAATCAAATCATGTGATGATGACATCTTGGTGGATGAACTTAAGATTGTTACAGAGTATAGCTTTGGGGGAAGCATTCAAGGATGACTACCAAGTTGATGATAAGAAATTCAAATTCTTGTTTAGATAGTTTAGGCCATAATAATGAAAGTTTGAGTAAGACATCGTGAAGAAAAAGAAGAGAGGTAAGGGGAAGAAAAAGAATCATAATTTGGAATCTTACTCTGCAAAATTTGAACAGCTTGTGAAAGTTAAACAAAAACATGATGAACAAAACGCATAAACTAGACTACATTCCCCCTTCTTTGACTTGGAAAACAATTTGAACAGATTTTTTTGGGTGAATGAATTTGAAGACTCAAATATTGACACAAACAGGTTGACATAGATTAAAAAATGATCTGACCTACTGACAACAAATCAATAGATCAAATTTCTCTCTTGTATTTCAACAGATAAGGTTTGGTTGGGCTTTGAATTTTAACATATAGGATTTGGTTTAGCTTAGCATTTTAACAGATAAAAAAAAAATTAATAAAAAAAATTGAACGAATAGAATTTCACACAGACAGAATTATTTTCAACAAATAAAAAATCCGCATTGATAGAATTTCAATATATAGAAATTTCACACTAATAGAATTACAACATATAGAATAAAAATTTCAACTGATTAGTGTCAATAAAAATTAAAAAGATAAAATTAGAAATAAAATATATTTCTCACCACACTATTTCATAATGAGTATTTCTCACCCAAAAAAAAATAAAATAATAAATACTCATACATTTACACTTTCTTTAAAATGACCTTTTAACCAATTTTCTCTTTAACCTAGTCCATTTAAATTCGTCCTTATTCAAATTAAATTTAAATTAAATTATTTTAATGCATAATTCGTATTCATCCACTCAAACTAGTCATTTGCTTATCCCTAGGTTGAAGGGTTATGATGGATTGAAATACTCCAATCATTATTCCGACTTAGCCAATTGGTTTCATTGCTTGCGTGTTCTTTAACTTTTTCAATGGATACAAAAGGAAAAAATGTAACAGAACTTAAATATTTTATATAAATATAAAATTTATATTATATAAATTTTATGTGAGTCTCATATCTATATAAAATATTTAATATAACATTTAATAGAATTTTTGAGTTGCTATCATTACTCATATAAAAAAAATTTCCCTTAACTTCTCCAGTGAATGCAAATGCTTTTACTTGAGTATTCATCACTGAAGTGAAATATAAAATTATTATTTTTTAAGTTTTTTTTATAAAATATTCATGATGAATGATTTTCAATATATTTATTAATATTTTTTAATAAATTAAGTATGAAAATAGATACTATAGTGGAATGAACGTTCAATTACATTACACTTTATACTGATAAATAAAAAATTACCGTGATATTTTATTTGTTTTGACGAAAAATTTTGTGAATTAGGTAAGTGAATTGTGATATATTAAGGTTGTTTTTGGTAGAGTTTTGTAAATATGATTTGAGAGTATGAGTTGCATTTGGAGTTTGTGAGTTGTGGAATTATGATTTGAGTGTAGAAAATTTGTTTGGTTATGGTTTTTGAATAGAGTATTGAATTGAGTTTTGAATTGTATGTGGAATTGAGTTTTGAAAGTTTAATTTA